TCACGAGAACACAGCAATGCATTTATTTCAACTGCAGGTTATAGCCGCATAAATAACATGGAGTGTCAAGCCCCAAATACTGTAATTTTATGCATGTAGCAAGCAATTTAGCAGCAATGGACAATATCATATGTAAGGGCCATTAAATATTTCTGCAGATTTCAGAAACCATCTCATTCACTTCAGTCACAGAGAATGTTTTGCATGCATCATATCTAGACACACATCAGAAGTTCCTGGAATACTTCACATTAATTGAGCCATTTGTTCTTTCAAACCTAAGCAAGAATGATTGTCTTAAAAAATTACTGCTTCTTAACTAGCAGTTCATCAGACATACTTGGGTGGGTGCTAATGTAAGGTGGTTAACTGCCCAAGGCAACTGGTGGCAGATACTCTGCCCTCTGGAATTAGGAATAGAAGACTCTCTAATTGTCTACCCCTAGAACATCAGCCTTAAGACAGAAAAAAGCCAACGCAGGAAGGTACTGCTACTGCCGAAGATGGGTCAGTGGCATCATTGGCTGTCTCCCTGTTAGAACTAGATAAAGGGAGGGCAAATACTGAATGGGAGACTGCTGCATTCTTCTAGAGGTAAATACAGATGGACATGGGTCTGATCATTCTCCCAATACAAAAATATATGTAATGTGTGAATTGTCCCTTAGTTATAAAGACGTTCCAGTGAAAGCAGTGAATATTATATCGCAAATTAACTGCACTAGGTTCACTTACTGCCAGAGCAACAACAGCAAAACAAAAACAAATCCAGGTGAAATTTTCGGCAAAGTAAGGAAAACCTCAAGAGAGTTCTCTCAGCTGAATTTTTATGAACTAAGTTTAACTGAATGGCAGGAAAACAACTTGCCCCTTATGGCATCTGTTCTTGCTGAAGACCATCATCACAGGTATGCTCCCATTCTTACAACAGCTGTACACTCTTAATCACTTAGTGTGTGTTTTATATTTTATCCAGCTCCATTCCATTCAAAAATAGTAGCTTTTTTCCTAGATCCCTGGTGCATAAAGAGAACAGGAAGGTTCTTCATCCTTCTTTTCTAACTTTTTTCCCCCACCTTCCATATCTATGGAACTAAAGCAACAGCAAACAAAGAAGTCAGGAGGGGAGGAACATAGATGCTACGACTAAGAAGCAACATCATTCAAAGATTTAGTTTGTGTTCACAGAGATATTATCAAGAAGAAAGCCTAGTTCCCATTTCAGAAGTACAAAACTTACCAGCTGAAGGATGTCCTCGTCTTTTGGCATAACACTAAGTTCCAATACATTGTCACTGTAAAGAAGAAGC